AAGGCTTACTGAAGTCACGAACCTACAGCGCAAGCGAGAACCAACGGGTTTGACTGTGGGGGAATTTTATGATAGCATTAGAGAAAGAGCAAGGGTTCGTTTGGGGGATACATACGACAAAATGCTTATCACTTGGCGCGTTAGAAATCTCCAGACCGAATGGTGGTGGAAGGACTGGGACATTGGGCCGGGTTTATACAAACTGGATTTGGTTATCCAAAACGAACCAGCTCCGCAAGAGCAGGTTTCCTACGCATCCCGATAGCCTGGTTTTTTTTTTTTTTTTTCTCAATCCTCGCTACCATTATGGGAAACTTTGAATTTGGGCTACTGGCTGTACTGGCGACCTTTGAGCACATAACACAAAAAATTAATTATTCAAGTATCATAGCAAAGTTAACTGATAGTCTCTAGGGTATAAGACTCTTCTAAATTTGAATCTTCATAAAATCCTTGTCAAAATTAGCCTATGCCGAACAAGCTGATCTATTACCTTCCACCCTAAAAATTGTATCACTGTTAAAATTTGGTTCCACGTACAGCATGAAATTCAGCTCCTGCCTCCTACTTATCAGTATTTTTGCCGCATCCACAGCGACTCCCTCATCGCCCGCTTGCCCAAACCAGCTCGAACAATCTAGTCCCTCACTAACCAACACCCAACAAACTCTCTATACCGGAAAATTCGACTCCTTCATAACATCTTTGTCTGAAATCAGCTGGGTTAAAACATTTGCTACCGCACTGCTCCCGGCGGTCCTCAATGCTCATAACACACTAGAAAGTATAGAAGGCGACTCATTTTATGGTAGTACTGCCCTCATACCTTTACCGGAACAAAGCCTCAACGACCTATACGAATTTATTGTCAGTCGCAAAATACATTGCCATGCAGCCGAAGGCCCCAGAAATTTAATACTGTCACTTGTCAAGATCGACGAGGCGACTGGTACCGGTGGAGAGTCTGATTTCGTCGAGAGTGATCCAAGCTCTCTCAGCGATGAGGGAAAAACACAAGCCAATTCCAACATGGGGTCACCGAAATCTCCAGGCGATGAGAGCCTCGACCCTCGAACCTTTTTTCAATTCACAAACGTAGATGTCTTGAAAATCCTCGGCGCTATGGTCGACTCTTATAACTTCCAGTTACAACAACTGGATGCGGCCTCGAAAATAATTTACAGTTCACATGAAAAGAAGTTGTTAAAAACACAAATAGATTTCTGGGGCGAACAGGCAGCAACGAGTTTGCTTCGCCTGTGGCATTTATTTCAGGCTGGGGAGCCATATTTGAGGGAAATTGAACCCTGGGACTCCGACGATTTTGAGAATTGGGTCAAAGTCATCGAGATACAAACTGGTATCAATTATGGAGAGGAACCTGATTTGAGTCCTGAGCTTGGGAGCGAAAATATGTATATAAACAACATACTTTGAATATTATTTGTTTATATATGGTTCGTTTTTTCAAATACCAAGCCGGGACGCTCGCGGACGTTTCCAGAATTCAAAATTGCCAAAAAGCTTAAGGGAGTGCAAGAACCACACAGAACAGGCCTGAAGAAAGCAGGAGCGCACGAACTACCAAATATGACGTACTTCTCGCTGAAACTTTTGTTGACTGTAACAAATGTACGTACCAGGACCTGGTACTCTGCAGGTCGCAATCTTGAGACCAGGAATTAAGGTACGATACATGCATATTACCTGTATAATAATTCTTGCCGCCCTTAAAACAGCCGATTTATGCAGGAAATAGCGTTAGCTCGGTCGCTAGTTAACTGAAACGGCCTTCAAACCATGGTTCGCCGACCGAACTAGAATACGTGGCCGAGAGTTCCGTGAAATTAAGGCGTGTTGGTGCGAACATTCGAATTAATTAGAGAACTTCCATTGATATCAAGTACGGACCTGATTAGGCCTCGATGAGCTCTTTTATAAATTGTTGTGAATCCTACTGGAAATGATTCTACAAAACATACCATCCATTCAAGGGGGCTCTTCGATCCGTAAACCCGAGTTCTTGACTTGGTTCACCATTAGTTTGACAGTTTTGGTGTTTCTAACGAGCCGAAGTCTCGTGCGCCAACAGCGTTGCCGACGGGGTGTTTTTCATCTAAACAATGATAAAAATTTATCTGATCAATTTGATTACCGGTTCGAAGCAAGTAGGCTCACATGCTAGCCTCAATCTACGAGGAAAAAAGGCATGTGTCTTGTGCCATTTCCCAACCGTAACCAAGCTTTCGGATTTGTGTTGGCGGAGACGTTCACGCCTTCCGCTTCGGGGCACCGACTATCCCAACCCCTGCTGAAATGGCAGGTGCGGACAGAGCGGAAGCTGCCGACCTATCACGAAATATTGTGTGCTTCCTGGCCTCCAATAGCCGTGCTTGCTCGGAAACGCAATTCGGATTCGAAAAGCCCCAGGTGTGCATGCAGGATGTCTGATGTCTAATTAATTGAACTCCTGCGGCTGTATTTTACCTGGGCAGACAGTCAACGATGCGCCGGATAGCATGCATGCATGCTGCTTCCTCGGCCCGGATCCAAATACTGCAAGAAAGCCGGGAAATGGTTGGGGCTTGGGACGTTACAATTAATTTCAAAAGTTAAGAAATCGCCTACCTACCGAGATAAGACATGTAGGCGAGGGGCGGTAGGTGACCTTTGCCTCACGCTTGCATCTATCTATCAATCGCAAGATTCTGGAGCCTAGGCGGAGGCGATGGAACGGTCGGAAATGCTACGGGGGGAGCTGAGGTTGATCCAGGCAACCTACGACAGCCTCCGGCGGATCTAGCGTAAGTTTTGGCCGGTGGACGGCCCCTCACATATTAGCTAGTAATACCGATAACAGGTATAAAGGTCAAACGTTGTCTCTATACTGGAAACTTAAAGCATGTAGGGACATGCATGTACCTAGAAACCAGCTAGTTAGTTTACGGATGGGACCGGGCTGGAGGATGTTGGCACTCCGCATAATCCTCAGCCACGAAGTCTTAAGATCCTGCTGTCCCGTAGATACCTAAGCTGGCCGCCGAGCCCCTCGTCTCTGATAAAAACTGCTGGTGAATACTTTGAGACAGAATGGTGTTTATGCAGGGCTTTCAGAACCACGAGCGAAATCGAGTCTCACGGAAATGGCTTTCGGTCATAAACTGAATCAACATCTCAACCCAAGCTAGCCAAACCAAATCTTGTCGCGGCGGCGATAGCTGAACCTTCCTCCCATAAACTAATCGATTACCTTGCGCCCACAACCGGCCAGGGATCGGTGTTCTACAGGCCACTTCCAGCTTCCCTTCCTTAAAGCCAAGATATCGAATTACCAAAAGCGGATGGTGGATCATGGTGTTGCCCTGTTGCAAGATTTCACGGCAACGCGCGTTTGCATAACGAAGTCGATAACAGTGCAGGGACATGGGCCCATTACTTGCATTCCCATGACCATATCGTGGGTAAGTAATTCCAAGACTCGGGCGTGCCTTCTGGACCGCTGAAAACAGATGGTAGATTTCGGTGTAACTTCGCAGCTTACTGCTAGCGCAAAAGTCAAAATGGTTGCATGCGCATGAGGAGGGGTAAGAACTTGTGGAATATAAACGTACCTGATCGTCGCACTCATAACTCTGGAAATCAAGGTCAACTTCTTGAGTATATCCAGGATAACTACCCACAGTCTTCTAAGACTTAAAGTCTCTAGATATTTATTTCAAATCTAGCCTTTTTTGAAGCCTACTGTGTAACCTTCATACCCCAAGGTTTTTGATAGTTATAACGTTATCACTTTCAAAATGAAGTACTCGATTGTCCTCGCCGCTCTTACTGCTGCCGTCAGCTCCCTCCCAACCCCCCCAATCCCAGGCTTCATCAATGCCGGGCCATTCTCCCTCCAACTGGATGCTCCAGATACTGAGTAAGTAGTTTTTACTCTCCACAAATTTTCTCTCAGGACACCAACTAATTTAACTTGTGTAATATAGTCTTCATGAGCTTTACCTAACCATCCAACCTAGCCCCGCAAACCCAGATAATGGCAAAATCCTTGCCATAACCGCCACATCCGCTCAAGCAAACCCTCACTTCGAGATCACATATAACGACCCAAATGTTGATCCCAGATTCCCTCCCCACGGCCGACTGATCTACACACCTGGCTCGATGCCCGAAGAGTGCAAATTCTTCCTTTGCCCCAAGGGCCCGGTTTCTGCCGGATACGACGAGGCCTTCGGTCCTAGAGAATACGTTAGGAACAACATGAAGGCTTTGTTCTTCCCACCATCGCCGGCGGCTGTTGCCCCTAGCGCCCCTGCACCACCTACTGAAGAATCGGAGACGCCCAAGGGTGAGCCACTGAAGACCTGGAGCGACTTCCAATTGGACTACCTCGGATACTTGACATTGAATGGAGAGAGCAACTGGTGGGCTTGCCCAACCAACTACCCACTCGGCCACGAGAATACTTACACCAGCGTTTGGTGGGCCGACGGAATGGTCACTGATGACAGGTGCACAAGGGTTAAGGTTAAGAGAGCTTGAATACTGCGGGGTTTTTGATGATGCATGAATTAGTGGCACTCAACAAGTTTGGGTGTCATTCCTCTTTCGTTTCTTTGTAAATATTTAACATATATCCTTCTTACCAATATCCTATTTCTTATCAATATTTCAAATTCATTCATTACCGGTATACCTCTGGCTCCTTTTCCATATATACTGCGTCCAGGTGCATCTAGATAAAAGACTAGACTACTCGATCTGTTAAGGGGCCACAAATGTTGTATCCAACCTCAGCAGCCGTTATATTACGTATTACACGCGCACCCGAAAGGTATAATATTGACATAACCCCAATTAATATTTATAACAACCCCATGATATCAGCGTTGCGCAATTGTGACTGTTTAGACCCCCTTGACTAACCCTTTGCACCAAGGCAACATTCGGAACATGCCTTAGGAATGCAGTTTGGGAAGCGATTAAACCATCAACACTCATCCGATATGGTGTAGTGGTTAACATCGTCCGCTTTCAACAAGGAATTCTTCCTTCAGATGGTCCGGACAGCCCCGGGTTCGATTCCCGGTATCGGAAATAGCGTTTCCAATAAGATGAGTCTTTCTTTTTGGTTCCTGAACGTTTTTGGCCTCAAAAATGCGGAGCTCCTAACGTTTTGGGAAAACTTTTTTTGTTGTCGAATGTTGGAAGGTTTGTGTTGTAGAAGAGCTGCTGTTTGAGCTTCGTTAGTCTGAGACTGTGGTGGGTGCCTGGGCTCGAGGCTAGTAATGTGTAGACATAGTCTGACGCTGCCTGACTGGAGAGTATTACGCTTACTTGAATAGGTTATTTTCAGTTTCTATGAAAGAAAAGCAAAGAACATGGGGAAATACAGCTAAACGCCAAACCAATTCTGCCGCACACATGCCTCGTAGACACAAGTAAATCTGATCCCTTCTGTCTTAAAATAGCAGTCTGGCATATACCTTTTTTTATACTAGAAATGGAGTTGTTTACACCCTGGTATTCAGAGCGGTATGGGTGGGGTTATGATTCTTAAGAATGAATACCTATGTTTCGGCAATTCGCTGTAATTTGAGGCACGAAACAAGCTGTCGAAAGGCTCGGTTGTTTCGATACTTTTTGGTCTTTCAATTCAGGCGCGCTCATCTGGGGTGGAATCGCGAAGGAGAACTGAGGAATATAGATATATATATATATATATATATATATTACTTATTAATATATTGAGTAGCCGACGTTTATGAAGTAGCACATCGATAAATCTAATAAGCCTTAGGCCTAATTGGGCTGGATTTCATTAATTCATTATTCATTAGTCGACCGGGCCGAGGGGCCGAGGGGAGCCATCTTGCGGCAAATTTCCCCATATCGGTTCTATTCAGTTTTTACATCAATATCGTCTTCAGCTTCTTGCGTTATGTGGTATTCTTCCTTTATCGTTGCCTCCTCTATCTGTTGGCCTGGTCCTAAGTCTAACGGAACGTCGCTCATTTGGACCTGAGGAAGAATTGACTCTATACGTGCGTTTATCTGCGACGTATCTAGGTTCCCAGGCCCTAGTGCAGACACGTCTGCTGTGCCAGCTAAATCCGCTTCGATCTTTATTGGATCGTTCCCATGCCCACCTTTCCTATCGTCTTCCGGTTCTACTGCGATACTCTGTTCGTTTTTGAGAGGTTCTTCGACCTTTATTTTGTCATCTTGCCTCCTTTCTCCGTTGGATTCTCCTATACGCTCTTCATCTTCATAATATCCAGCGGCCCCTTCGTACTCCAGCCCTTCGTCATATTCCTCCTCCATTCCACCGGCCGTATCTCGGTCGCCTGTTTTGCGCATAAGCATATTGAGATAATCCTCGAAGCCATCATCGTCGGAAGATACGTCGGCGCGGGGTTCTGCTTGTCTCTCATAACCCGCTATGGTGAGTTTGATTTGAATCTCATTTTCTCGTTCATCCCCTGGGAGCTCTTTGAGTTCCTCCTCCAACCGTTTCCGTAGAAGTAAATCTGCTAACTGAAACTCTGGGAGCATACGCAGTGGGGTTTCGTGTAACGCAAGAAGATCTTGGTTTGAAAGAAAAGCAAGCTCTGCTTCAAGCTGCCTTTTGGCGACTGCTTGTTGGTCTAATAATGCAAGTCCTCCAGACAACATCAAAGAATTGATAAACGATTCGCTTCCATCTCTTTCGATAGGGGCCACTCCAGCTCTTTCTAAACCATCTTTTGATTGGGAAGTTGTTTTTCGGGTTCCGGGGGTTCTTTGCGTATTCGGGTTGGTGTCGGCTAGGTTTGGCTCGGAGTTTTCGTCTGAATCAAGGCGATATCTATTCCCATTTTTGTTCGTCATTTCAACTAATGGCACTGCAGGATTTAATACAAGCTCCTTATTATCAATTAAAGGGATTAGATTTTGGTTCTCCTCGCTCGACCTAAAATGTCTGTTCATGGGGTCTATGGCGATCGCGTCGTGGACGATTAAGAATTCCGCGCGAGTATTCACGCTACTAAACCAGTCACGAGTCGTCCGGATAGCCATCGCTCCGGCTGGTACTTCCGGGAATTGTGGTCCCCCATTAGGCAGATCACGTAGTTCTGCCCAACTCCACCAGTTTCGATCCTTCAGCTTCAAGTCGGGATGATACCCTTCGAGTTTTGAGAAGTTTGCCTTCTGGAGAGTATTAGGATCCGGGTAAAAATGTACAATCGCGGTGGGAAGCCGATCGCAATTTTTCCTTGACCAGAATCCTAGGTACTTAATCTCAATAGGACTCCTTAAAATGGCTTGATTGAGAAATGGATCGGAACCCCGTGGAAGACTAGGGTCCCCTTGGACAATCGAGATACCCAGGAAATCTTGTTTTACTCCCCCAGCGCCGCGCGCCCGCCGTTGCATATCTGTACATGGCTTTGGCGAGACATTGACGACGCTACCTCCGGTGTGGGTTTCTGTGTAAAATTTATTCGGTGGATCGTATATGAATCTAAAAAACCAGGAATATGCGGACGGAAGATTTAAAGTAATTAAAAGCAGCCCAAAAGCATAAAAATTCGGTAAAATCATTGTAGAAAGTGTATGTGGCAATGACCCCTAGGGCCCTTGGAAGATACGAAAAGAGAATCCCCTATGTTGCTGTACTTCTAATCTCGATATCTAAATTCTCTGCATTCGTCAGTTCGTTATACATTGCGAGGGTTATTTGATGAGCAATTTTCTCTGGTTTCTTGGAATAAATCTTACTCATAACTAGTGACCAGTACCCCAAGTACTCAATAGCCAGCTGGGGTTTGCCGCAGTAACGAGAGATATAGAGCTAGCTAAAAAGTAAACGCTAGCCGTGTGGTTCGAAATTAATGCACCATCCGAAGTTAAACCGTTGATAGATCCCCGTCAACCGTCTACTTGCTAAAGATTACTAAGACGCTTGATATATATGAGGGCTATACGCTCACCCCGAACGGAGTCGAGCCAGAATACTGGGGCGTATTACAACATATACATAGGTATTAATCCAAATTGTTTCGTATTAGCCTAAGGGAATGTGTATACTGTGATAAAAAGGTTTATAGCTAAGATGAGATGTTGTCAACCGACACAAGGAAAAATGTTGATAATTAAGCTTTAATCATGGAAGACAAACTTTAATATATGACGCCAAAAGATTCAGGGTCTCCTACACAAGAAAATTATAATGAGGGCGGCCAACTCGCGAAACATTGGTTTCTTAGTTTCACAGTAGAGAAGGCCGAGGTGACCCTTCAGCGATGCCAACAGTTTCAATATGGGCTCTCCTAGCTATCATAAGTTCTATGACAACAAGTTTGTCTTCATTTTTTGGTTTATGCCTTGGCCCTAGGCAACCCTGAGACTTTAAACTATTTTTAGAATATCGCCGTATTCAAGGGACAAAATTTCCATGAATCCCAGAAAAGATACAGCGATTTAACCAACATATTAAAGGGAAATTCAGCAATCTCCTATAGTTTATCGTGATAAGTTTCGACGGGTGGTATTTCAGCGGCAAGCCCTATATGGAATGTGGATGTATTAGTGTAATTTTCGCCTTTACTAAACCTGAACTACTAACCATTTCGAAGTCTGACTTGAGCAGCAAGCTTTCCGGCTTTGGTGGTTGGGTCAACCGGGCTACCGGGAATTATTTCCCAGTGACTATGTGCGAAATTTACCGATGCCTCACCCCTAGGCAGATTCTGAAGATCCGCTTCCAAAACGGAGGATTGGGCAACAGGCAATGCCGCGTCGATGGTGTACGGTGAAGATGGGTCGGGTTGGTGTTCATCGTAAACTTCAGCGCCGTTCCTCGATAGGGCAGTGTGGACGTAAGCTAAGCCATCGCTTGAAACCTGAATAGTAGCCAAATGGAAGGGTTCGAGCAGGCGAGGCTCGGCTAGATGCAGTGCAGCGTACACAGCTCGACGAGTGGCCGTAACCAACTGGCCACTTCTTTCGGAGGAATCTGTGGCGAGGGTAGCATCCACGATATTAAATCGGACGCCTCTGAGTGGCTCTCCGGAGATTGGTCCTTCTTTCACTGCGAGTTGGAACCCGGCAATGATTTCTTCTTTGACTTCTGCAAGGTTCTCGACGCCTTTCGAAACATCGACAAGAATGTTAGAGTTGTCGTCCGGGCCGAATGCCCAGATCTTTCGTGCCTCTGTGACGTCCCAGCCATAGTTATCGGCTAGTTTACGAGAACGCTCTTTAAAATCCATATCGGGGGTGATCTCCCCGTTGTCGATGGCACGAGATAGTTCGTTTTCAACAGGGACCGCGGATATATAGATTCGGTTTGCTTTATTTTCCGATTTCGAGAGAGCTAACATGACTGATGCGTTCGAAACACTTTCACGGTATTGAACTTCGGTCTGGTTTTCGCTATTTATGTTTACGTTCCAGATGGACCTGGTAAGCATATACTCGACCATAAAATTTGACAGGAATTGATTGGGATAGTCGGGAAGCTTAGGGCCTCGAGGCTAATGAGTTGACGACATACCTGGCCATTTTGACTGAAATCTGCGGGTTATTCCTATTTTAAAATTTTATTCTTTTTCAATTTTTAGAATCGAATTGGGATATTAAGTAGTTGCAGGATGATATCAACAGCCTGCGCGCTGGCCGCCTCTTTATATAAACCCAAGAAATCCCGATCGGCCGAAAAGCCCGAGTGTACATGGGATTTAGAGCATGAACACCATGCCGCTACATGATATAAATTTCATCAGCCGCACGAGTCGAGAGAATATTTCTTCTTTTGAGGGTACGGCACAAGAAATATGCAATGTAGTGGGCCTATGATATTCACCCACAACCGAACGAAGGGGTCGATATTTACGAATGCGATTAGAGGAAGCATATCATTCAGCTAGGAGGGGTGGTTAGCTGTCTAGATTGGGAATGGGACACGGGAAAGGCCCCACTTTCAAGTGCGGGGATATTTTCTGTGCGCCGGCGCTAGGATCGAATCTCGATCTAGAGATCGATCTAGATCCCCAGATCGGAATTCCTGCCAACGCGTCATGATGGTTTTGAGCTTCAATAGCGGGGTTTCGATC